GGTTAAGCGTGTGTACGTATTTTGATCATTGTGTTTTATTCAAAACAATCGTTTATCCGATATGGGTGCCGTCTTTGTTTACCTGTTTATCTTTGATTTGAACCGTAATAGATATATACTCTTCAGATCTGGATCTAGGATGATTACATGTTAGGTCCTAAATGCTAGAGATAGGTTTAGGCTTAGCATTTGCGTGAATATCAGTTCTTAATGCTTTGTGTTGTGTTTTTGTTGGATGAGAGATCACCAATAAGACAACATGGTTGTTCTCTGGATGTTGCGTTAGAGATAAGTTTTGTCGTGGGTGATACGTAAGGGTATTAGACGAATGATTGTGTTGTGTTTAACTTGATCAGAAGAATGCACGTGTTATCAATTGATGAAATTCAATCCCAACAAGGCTCCGTTTATATTTCAGTCTTTATTTTATATTTTCTGTCTTTATTTATGGTTCCTTGAACCTTTTAAACCAAACCTTTTGAAAATAAGCTTAGAAATGTAGAAATCATTGAACGGCGTTCGTATCGCATCGATCCCTGTGGAGACGATAAAACTGGATACTTAATTTTTGTGCTTGCTGCTTTACCGCACCAACACTATGGTATGACGCAAATGTTTAAAGATGCGCAAGAACTGAATCTAACAAGAGACACAGGAACAGGAGACTCAAAAGGGAAGGTAAATAACAATCTACTTCGTTGGGGAAACAAAGGAATCACACTAAATCCGGGGGACAAAGGTGTCCACAACAACACATTGGGGGCTAAACCCATTTCACTTATTGGGGAACAATGTAGAGCTTAGGCAAGCTTACTAAAGATATAGCACAACCTCTTTGGGGAGTCAAAGTGTCTACTTTGAGGATGAGTATTCATTGACATTCAAACTTCTATCACATAAGGGATAACGGAGAAATTGTTTTCAGTGAGGCTATATACTGCTGAGATGACAATATCAAGGTTTCGGCCACCTTTAGATTTCCCGGGAAAAACCTGATTTCCACAAAATTTCCATAAACCAAAGTAACTACTTGTTCTGTTTTAGTTTTCTTTAAAATCATTTTTGATTCAAAACTTTTTTCTTTCAAAAATCGTTATTAACAAATAAGTCATGTTTTACATAACAAAGAAAAGTAAAGAATTGGTAAATTGCAAATAATTGAATGGTCCAAAACTAATTTTATTCATGAATGGTAGCTTGCGAATGGCAAAACTCCATGGGATATTTACAATCGAAAATGGCAAAAAGGAAACGGTTGCATCGAATCTAATGACAATCTTGCCCATACTAACTAATAATTCTCTAGATCTTCACCTCTGACAAGAGTAGTGGAAGTGAGCCCCTTTAGTAATCTTCGGCAATGGTAACAACCTCTGATGCAGTGAAATTCCTTTGTCCTTAAATTTTTTCTGAACTTCCCTTTCGAGTTATCGATCCCGCGGGACGCTCATTTTTGCCTAAGCCGCCCTTTCAGGTTTTCGACTTAGCGAGCTTTTTCTTTTTATTTCATCCCTATTTTTTTCCAAACTATATTCTCTTGTTTGTCTTATTTTTATAGCTCTTTATATAAGTGCGCCAAAAAAACACACATATACTTTTTTTGGATATGTTGTTTTGCTCCAAGCATGGGGTTGGTCTAGATTGTCAACCCTAACGTTTGTCAACCACAACAACTTTTCATTCCGGTATGCACAAAAGTAAGTTAATAGCTTAATATTAGTTAATTCACCTTACTAATTATTGTGTCTAACTAATTGAATTTAAACTTTTTATTGTTTAGATGGCCGGCTCGGGGTATGAGTTATAATAGATGTCCTAGACATTGTATCATTCAATACCGCAATCTGTTGGATCACCTAACATCTGAAGATGTAAAACCTCTAAACAAATCAATTTATTTTTTATATCAACAATTTTATGATCTAATATTTATCTCTTATTCAATTCATTTAGCGTCCATATCTAAACATGAGACACCTACATGAAGTCAGAGAGGAAGATGCATCCGATTGGACTGCACGCGTGCCAATCATCAAATTCACCACTATGGAGATGTACAACAGTTAACATGTCAAACTACAATTTGGAATGCATCAAAAAATCCCAGATCCCCTAATTGACCTCGGTAAATGACATCTAAAAACATTTAATGATCAATGGGACTATCCCAACTGGAAGGATTTTGCAAAATCTAAGTGTTGTAAATGGAGGAACTGCAGCGCCCATGTCTTATGTGACCCGGTGATGGAAACCCTGTCTATACCAACTAATAATTATATGGCTTGGTACATATTGGTTGCAACTGGGTTTATCTCCGAAGAGAGGTATCTATACAACCCACGATAAACCACCTACACATAAGAAGCTTCAACGTCTAACCCACCTGGAAATTATCGGTCATGTTACTCGCAACCTCCTACCCAACAGAATTACCAAACCACAATTCAAACATGCCAAACACCCAACCACAATACCAAGAGCGTCCCCCATACCATCTCCAACAAAATGACTATTATCAAGAAACCCAATATGGCTATGCCCCCAACACAACATCAAGGTATAGCCAAAATGAGGGTACATCATACTATAGCCATAACACCCAAACATCTTTCCATAGCAAAAAATGCTCAGACATCACACCCTAGCTTACACACACAAACATCATAACAACCTTATGACTTTCAAACACCAATACCATTTGAACATTTCACCAACGAATCCTTCACACCAATATCCCCCTTCAATCGTTCAGGTCGCACACCAATGACCTCTTCATCACATCCGAACTACTCTGGCATGGGTCGCACGCTCAGTTTCAACATTCAAGACCTCATGGAAATGCAAGAAATTCTTAAGGAATCAACTAAGGATGTTTCTAAGACTTCAACTCCTCAAACACCTGGAGTGAATCAATAACGAGGGGGACAAGTGCAATGAGTGAGGGTGCCTAGAGGATATGGAACCGATGGCCGGTATGACCAACCCGGTCGCCAACATTAATTTATGTAATATTATTTTTAATTAATGATTAATGTTATTTATTTTTGTTAAAAAAATTTATACTTAACACCCTACCTCCAAATCAATTGGGGTCTCCCTTGTATGTTTAACACCATGTCGCCAATTAAATTGATAACGCCATATGGTGTCTCCAATCCAATTGGCGACACTACTCAAGCCCAACAAGCAGTCGCCAATTGACATGGCGCCACCTATATATCACACCCCCAAAGTGGGGTACTTTGGGAAATAAATTAAAAAGTGGAGTATTTTGGGATTTTTTTTAATAAAAAAAGTGGATTATTTAGGTAAAAATTTCACAAACCTCTATCTCCATACCAAGTGTCACTCAATAATTTGTTACCTCATATAAATGTAAAATTGCACCTCCTTACCAAAACCATCATCACACGCCAACTAGCTCTGTCAAACATCTCTATAACATATTTTCTCTTTTCCATCTCTATCAACTTCATTTCTCTCCAACATTTTTGACTATCTCTACTCCTCTCCAGTAGTAGCTTCGTCGCTCAACCACAACAAGTGTTTCTGGAAGATTGCTTCGTCTCTCAACCACATCAGGTGAGAAATTTTTGCACTGCTTCACCTCTCCTTTGGTTCGTCTTGCTTTCTATTTTTCATGCTTCTGATTTAACAATGAAGATTCAACAGTGTTGAACAAACGAGTTCTTGAAATGAAATCCATTTAACAAATTGTTTGTGTTACAAACGAGTTTTACAATTATTTTGAGAAAACTTTCACTACTAATCTCAATTAAAAAGTTGTTTATGTCCACTCTCACTGTTGTTGAACAGTGAACATTCAGCTGATCTAAGTTTCTTTTTATTTCAATCAAATTATTTGTCGAGATATGCGACATTTAACATTTGAATGTGGAAACTTCTATATAACATTAAGTACCTTTGACATAACATTTTAAATATTGTGTTTGTTTTAGTTTTCTATTCAAATTTCATATTAATTAATTAAGTCATCACCACATAGTTTACATATGTCTGTGACATTAGTGTGTTTGTTTTCAACATAATATATCATTCATATTATTTGCTTAACTTATCACTATTTCATTTACCATCTCTCAATCCCATCAACGTGTTCATTTTGTTTTTTTATAAATCTTATTAATTGCATATGGTTTCTCAACTTTTTCATTTCTTAAACTTCTGCAATATGGTGAGATTGCATTCTTCATATAACTTATGAATAAACAAGCATAAAAGACATGTTCACAATCCACAAAATCTTGCATATGTAAACTAATTTGTGCTAACTGATGCTTATGCAATGTTAATAAATTTGTCAATCTATAATCTTTAACTTATACCATATTTAGGATCATTTACAATACTAAATTGTTTTGGTTTGAATAAAAAATATGGAAATAATTTTGTAATATTATTTTTTATGTTCTTATGCATCTACAATCTTATAATTATTTATATTTATTTATTGTATTCGTCATATTACATATCAAACAAGAATACTATACAAAAAATTATTTACTCGCGTGGACGTACAAATATGTTACTAGTTCAATATAAAACTAATTTACAAAGAATGTTTTAATCTTCATAAAATTATATGCACTTTACAATGACAATTAATTAAACGAACTTATCTATTATTTTTATACATGATATGATAGTTCTTCTAAAAATATAAAATATTGAATAAATAAATTAATGAATACTTGAATGAGATGAAATTAGTTTTGTTCCAATGAACTTCTAATCCAAATCAAATATGATAATAGTTTATACCAAATAAAGTTATTAAAATGTTTAAATCTTATTCTTGTAATTTTAAATGGCGAAGTTCAAACTAGACTCCACCCTAATCTTTCTATACTTAGAGCCTCAACACACAGTTTAAGTTCAATATTCTTTTTTTTGAATCAAAGAAAAAATATATTAATTCAAAAATAGTTAATACAAAATTAGGTGATTCTGAAGGATCCAACCCACTAAAAGGATTCAACTTACATCATAAAACTAACAAGATGCTTCCTAATTTTAAGGTTTTGCCACCCTCTATAGATCACATTATCTATAATGTTAGTATCCATGGTTGTATTATCTACAGTGTTTCCAAAAATAATATTATTACGATAACCCCAGATGCTGTGGATGGTTTCGGCCACTAACATTTTCAAAACATCCACTTTCCAACCTTTTCCTTTTGTCATGTTACTGATCCAGATCAACTCTGCCTCCCAAGGTTGAGGTTCATGATATATGTTAAACCATTGAAGCACTTTCTTCCATATGTGTCTTGTCCCTTGACAGCAGAAAAACAGATGATTCATCGTCTCCTCTTCGGTGTGGCATAACCTGCATGTGTCGTCCTTAATCATACCAAAACGCTTTAACCTATCCTTGGTTGCAAGTCTCCCGTGACATGCTTGCCATAAACAAGACACTGCTTGCGGTCGGCTCTTATTGGATCTTATCAAGTTTCTCCAAACAATCCTTGTGCCATCATCAATCATTACTTTGTAAAACACCGACGCCTTAAACTTATGAGTGGTTAGAAGTTGATCCCATTCATTCCGTATTAAATCCATGATATCTCTTTGTTTCAAAATACCGCGCATGATCCAAGAGTTGTGATTTTTGGTAGCATAATTCATCACATGGTCCCCCTTTAGGTAGTGAATATGGATCCATTTCACCCAAAGAGTATCATTTTTATTGCACAGATTCCATAAACACTTCAAAAGTAATACATTGTTCCAAAACTGCAGATTTATCAGGTTCAGCCCACCCTGCGCTGTAGGGCAGCAAGTGCGTTTCCATGCCACAGGGCACTTTCTGCTCACCGTATCCTTACCGGTCCAGATGAAACTGCGACAAATGGAGTCAATTTTCCTGATCACAGATTTGGGCAAGGGAATACAGTGCAGCCAGTACTGAACCATTGCAGCAGCTATACTTTTCACCAATTGAATTCTTCCGGCATAACTTAGAAGTTGAGATGACCAATGGTGAATTCTAGCCACAATTCTATCCACCATGGTCATAAAATAGTTGATGTTTAATTTCCTGCCAGAGAGAGGTATTCCTAGGTATTTGAAAGGAAGTGTTCCTTCTTGGAAACCCGACAGCTCCTTCATCATCCTTCTTTTCTCATTGTCCAGCCCTCCAAAATAAATCCTGCATTTGTTAGGGTTCAAAATCAACCCCGTGGAATTGGAGAAATCCCTGAAAGTTCGAAGAATCATCTGCAATGATATGTCGTCGCCTCTGCAGAATAGCAGTACATCGTCTGCAAAAGTGAGGTTTATGATTTTCAGCTTTTCACATTTGGCATGATAGTTGAAATTAGGGTCTCTTTGCATTTTCACCAACATTTTGTTCATATATTCCATTATAAGGATAAAGAGCATAGGTGATAAAGGATCACCTTGCTGAATTCCCCTTTTAGCCTGTAGTATATCAGTATATTCCTCCATGATATTAAATCTGTATGAAACAGTGGTGATGCTTAGCATAATCCATTGGATGAATTTGTTAGGGAATCCCATCTCCTTCATGATGCACTCTAAAGCCTTCTAATTAACCATATCATATGCTTTTTGTAGATCTAATTGCAACATGATTCTAGGTGTTCCTCTTTTCCTGGTGTAGCCCTTAAGCAACTCAGTAGCAAGCATGATGTGATTATGGATGTTCTGAGCTGGTACGAACGCTGCTTGATTATGGTTTACCACACTTGGTATGACAGTTCCTAGTCTGTCAGTCAGAATTTTGGAAATAATTATATAGAAAGTGGTGCATATAGTTATAGGTCTGTAGTCTTTGATTTCACAAGCATTATGGTATTTAGGAATCAAGGATACTACAGCAACATTGAAAGCTTTGTAAAGTTTACCTGTTTCAAAGTATTGCTTAACAGCTGCTATCACATCAGCTTTTATAATTGACCAGCTGGCTTTGAAAATTTTGGCTCCATAACCATCCAACCCTGGTGCTTTGAGGTCTCCAATTCCTTTAAAGGCTTTGGTAATGTCACTTTCTGATATGGGTCTGGTAAGGTAATCCCTTTGGTCTATGTCAAGTTGTTTTTCCATCCTCATAGCCTCTATGTCGATATGATTAATGGTCTCAGCATCTTTGCCCATTAGGTTGCTGTAGAATTTAATCACTTCATCTTCAATATCTGGTTTGGTTGTTATCTGGCTGCCATCACTCTTCTTTAGGTTGCTAAGGCAATTGGAGTAATGTCTGCCTTTGATAGCAGCATAAAAATACTGATTATTGCCATCTCCCTTCCTAATCCAGTCAATCTTAGCTCTTTGGTGTAGAATTTTCCATTCCATTTCATTCAGGGATATCACTGCTTCAGTCAGGTCTTTTGCTTTCCCAATCAAGTTGGTGTTCATTCTATCATTCCTCAGTTGTTCTTGTGTTTCTTCTAGGGTATTTCTAGCAGATATCAGTTTGGTTTTAATATCAGATAGAGGTTTGCTGAATTGCTTTAAACCATGCTTCAATCTCTTGAGTTTGTGCCAAAGAACAAACATTGGACTACCTCTAATATGGCCATCCCAATTCTTCTTTACCAAAGTATCATAACCTGGCAGCTCTATAATGCAATTGCTAAATTTAAACTATCTGGAAGGCTTCCTATGTTCTTGATTATATACCATTCTTGATTATATACTAGATAAAGCATGGCATGATCCGAGATATTAGGTGGGAGGACTTTTAGAGTAGTCTCCATGTTGGTGAGGAACCAATCAGTATTGCCTAAAACCCTATCAATTCTTGAGTAGATGGGACCAGTTGTTTTCTTATTGGACCATGTGAAATGATCTCCAATGCTATCCATTTCACTTAAACCTGTATGCTCCATCATTGTTGTCAGGTCTACATATTCTCTTTCAGTCACTAGATTTCCTCCTATTCTGTCTTGGGATTTGGTTACATTGTTGTAAGCTCCAATAACACACCAAGGCCCTTGGATGCTACCATATATATGTTCTATATTTGACCACAAGGTTTTCCTTTGGTTTAGTTGATTATGAGCATAAACAACAGTTAGCCAGTGCTTGAAATTGCCACAAATATCATAGATGCCACAGTGGATATATTGGCTGCTACTACGCAAGAACTTCACATTCACTCTGTTACTATCCCAGTGAATCCAAATTCTACCATTTGTATGGTCTTTGTAGTTGTCAATGTGATTATCATATATCATCAATTTCTCTCGAATGGTCCTGGCTTTAGCTTCTTTAACTCTGGTTTCAATCAAAATAATAATAGTAGGCTTTAGTTCTTGGAGACGGGACCGAATCTCACGAATTTTGCCTACTTTATTGAGCCCCCTTATGTTCCATGAGACTAACATGGTTCAGGGTTTATGGTCACTTGATGGTCATTCAAAACCTCAAGTGCATCAAAACCATTGTTACAGTTGATGTTGTTGTAAGTATCAGTCATGATGTTTTTACCTTTATCTCGTACAGACTTTTGTGCTCTTGTCCAAGAATTCCTTCCTGTTCCTGTTGTCTCCTCTCTTTCTGGTGATATAACAGGTGTTATGTTCGTGGAAGTTTCTGGTGGCTTAACAGGCGTTGTGTTCGTGGGAATTTCTGGTGGCTTGAGTTTTGGTTTCCATTGTTGTTTCTTCCCTCGATCTTCACATTTATGCCCCATTTTTTGACATGTTTCACAGAATGTTGGTCTCCATTCATACTTCACAGGCTGCATCATTATATCGCCTTCAACATTTCTAATGGCTATTTCATCAGTCAAGGGTTGTGTAATGTCTACCTCAATCAATAGTCTTGCATATGAGACACGAAGCTTATTTGCAGTGCATTCATCAGTCACCAACGGTTTGCGAATAGCACTTCCTATTTTGCTGAGACTTTTGGCCCCCCATAGATGCAGGGGAAGTTAGGGAAGTTTGATCCAGATTGGTAAAGTTCTTAGCAGATCCTTCTTTAAGTTGAAACCAGTGTGCCATTCCTTCAATGTCACGGGCATGTTCCGAATCGTGTATGGGCCTTTCATCATGACTGCTTCCTTGTCTTCCTGGGAGTTAAATCTGAGCAGAAAATAGCCGTCGTCGTAGTAATACAAATCTGGCATCTTCACGAAATTCCACATTCTCTGCATAAAGTTCTTCACCATGTTCATACTCAGGTCGCCCCCACCACATAAAAGATTAGGGCATTATCCCAAAATTGTATTTCCGTTTCGATATCTTCTTGTTCAATATCAATTTCAATCACTCCATTGACGATCTTTGGCGCAACGTACTCTATTGCCATTCCTTTTACAGGGTTCCGATTGTCATTGATAACATCAACCCATGGTTTACGCTCTTCAGGTTGTGGTTTTGTCGGTTCTGTTAGGGTTTTCTTGTTCTCCTTCGCCATTGTGTTTGTCATATCTTTGTCTTCTCCAGCGGTAGTTCTTGGTTCAATCTCAGGGGTCTGAACATTAATAGGGGATTCATGCTCAGGTGTCTTCAAGCTAGTGAGAATTTCTGGTGACGGTGGCACCGTGGTTTTCGGCCGCCCTCGTCCCCTCTTCTTCTCCATTTATTATTATTATTTAAACTTAATATTATTAAGTTCAATATTCTTAAATAACTCTTTATTCAAACCCTTTATATAAACTTTAAGAGCTTTCAATTTTTTATAACCAAGTTAACATTACTTAAAAAATTTGTACAAAGAGTAATATTACTTAAAGAGAATAATATTTAGGAAAATTCTACACATATTCATGTCTTATGATTAGTGGTCCATTTGGTTATTATTCTTTCTATTGTCTTTAGTTATGTGAGGACTTTGGACAAATATGACAATCGTATTTTTTTCTTCTTTTTCCTTTGATTGAATATAGCAAAAGACTATCTATCTATTAAAATAAATCTCCGACCAAACTTTTTAATATATCATTTTTTCTACAAAAATTATAATAATAAAAAGGTATATTTGTAATTAATAAATATTAATAAAATTAAAGCTATCTCATTTTACCGCTTCATTTATTTTTCACTTTTTACTTTTAATTTTTACCGCTTCATTCATTTTTCATCTTTTACTTTTAATTTTTTCACTATTCTTTCTTCTCTTAATTTAAATTTTAAATTTTTCTCACATTTTTTCTCATACTTTTTCACTTTTTATTTTAATTTATTCTCTCTCCATTTTTTTTAATTTTTTTTAAAGTATAAATAACTAAATATGAATCTCTTTTTAATTTAATGAACACGAAAAGTGCTGAATTTGTAAACACAAAATTTCTAAAATAAAAACATAATTATTATATATAAAAATTATTCATACTTTATATGATTATTGCTTATTTTATAATTAAGTAATTCATTTGAAATTGATATGTGTATTTAAATACATTTTATATTATATCAAATTGAATAATACTCGATAATAATGTAGACAACTAACTTTCTATTTCACGTGTCACTATCACGATAATAATATTTTTTATTTTAATCAATTATTGTCTTTATTTGAGAGACAATTTTTTATTTTTAAATGTGAAAAATTTTTTTTCTCCGTCTCACAAATCCCTTTTTTATATGATTATTTAATACAATTGAGTTTTGGTGAAGGTTTTAATCTCATGAAGTTCATAAGAATTCTATCAAATCGCGTTTTTGAAAAATACGAGACATTTAAGTCATACAAGTAAAGAAATTTATTCATTGATAAAATAAAAAAAAAACATGAATAGTGATTCCATTGATGATAAAATAGAATCCTGGATCACGAATAGTAATTTAATTGTCGATAAAGAATGAGAATTCTTGCTTACTTTCTCTACCTTAACGACAGAAAAAAGGATGGATCAAATTTTAGTGAGTCTTACTAATATTGATGAGTTATCTAAAAGTATTTGATATTGTACAAATTAAATATCACTCAATAATGATGTACACCACTATTTTTTTATTTTATAGGTTAGTATCAGGATAATATCTATTTTATTTTAACCAACAATTGTCTTTAATTAAAATATGAAGACTTTATTTTCAATTGTGAAAAATAAATTCTTTAAATTCTTTTTTTCATTTCAAATTTATAATTGTATCCAAATATAATGTATTAAATATAACTAACATAACTATTTTGCTAGTTATATTCTATAAAGGCGTTTTATTTTTTTATTTTTGGCTTAATTGCAACTTTACTCCCCCTATTTTGTGTTTTTTGAGTTTTGATCCCCCCATTTTAAAAACCACGATTTTGGTCCATTTTTTAGGTTTCAAGATTAATATTAGTCTCTTTGTCATTTTAAGTCATGGTTTTAATGAGGTGGCGCGATGAATGCTGATGTGGTATTTCCATGTCAGTTAAAATGGTCTTTTTAAATTTAATATAATTTC